GAAAAATGGAGCTCTCCGCCTTGCTTGCTCTTCCTTTTGGTTTTAACAGTTTTCCTGTGCTTAACTGATCCTTCTTTGATATGGAGCACTGGAACAGGCTGCCCAGAGAGGTTGTGGAGTCTCCTTCCCTGGAGATCTTCAAACCCGCTTGGACGCAGCCCTGTGCCACGTGCTCTAGGTGACCCTGTGTGTGCAGGGGTTGGACTAGATGACCTCTAGAGGTCCCTTCCAACCCTGAGCATTCCATGATTCTATGATTCTGTGGGTTACCCTTGCTCAGCTGATCTCAATTCCTGGATTTCTGGCCTCAGTGCTGTCCCCAGCCTCACGGTTCCTCTGTTTTGGCTGCTTGGGCTGCCCAGGGTTCACACTTGGTTTCATCAGCCACTGCTCTTTGTTGCCCATGCTGGCCTCCTTGCTGCCCCATCACGAGGACATTTCCATGCAAGGCAGGGGCAGTGTGAGCAGCCTCTGCCTCCCTTCCACGAAGGCAGCGCTGTGCGTGTGAGGATCCCAGGGGTTCCCGTGGCCTGGAGAGGGTTCCTCTCCCCTCAGCGCTTCTTTTCCTTCCCATCTTGTGTGCCCTGCACCCGGGGCAGCCACCAAGTACAACAAGGCCGAGCACCTGTCGCTGCGGGACCGCTTGGCTCGCCTCAACACGCACTCCATCGCCAAGAAGACCACGCGGCTGAGCCGGCTCTTCATGCACGAGACCGGCATCGCGTCCAAGGTAGGGAGCCTGCGGGCAACTGGCCACCCCGCAGCCCATATCCTCTTTCCTCTGGCCTGGAGATACCTGGTGAGGGGAACAGAGCTGAGCCGAGCAGGGCCACGCAGCCAATGCTGACACCCAGTGGTCCATGCAGTAATGGACACATTTTCAAGCAATCTAGCAGTGGCTCCTGGGCCCTGGCTTCAAGGACCTGTGCAGTAGTGGGACAGTGCTCAGGTGTGGACTTCCCTCCCTTCCTTCCTTGGGGAGCACTGGGAGCATTAGGGGTGAGGACGTGTTGGCCCCCAAAGATGCTACAGGATCCTTGGGCATCCCAAGAAAAGGAGACCAACATAGTGAAATGAACCATTTCTTGAGGCTGGGCTCCACAGGCTCCACATGCTCTTCTAATGTCCTGTTTTTGCATACATCCTCAAAACCCTCAATTTTGGCCCTTTTAGATCCAAAGTCCTGAAGTTTCCCAGGTTCTCCTTCTCCCTGTCTTCCCAGCACTGAGTCTCAAGCAACACCTGGCTTCATTTTACATTATGATCCAGTGGGGGGCATTGCCTACACCCAAACCATTCCCTGGCCTGTCTATGACTGTCCAGGTCTGTGGGATAACTTGGCCTTTGACTTGCAGACAGAGGACAAGGAATATGATGACCTAGAAGAGAAGTTCCAGTGTGTGGCATCCAGCATAACTGCACTGAAGGAGAACGTGGGGTCCTACCTGAAACATTTAGAGGTAAAAACCCTGACCACTTGCAAGGCAGGGGCCCCATCCAGGCCCAGCACCCACTCTGTGGGGTTGCAGGATACTTTCAAGTATCCTGCCACTCATAAGACAAGATCAAGCACTCATAAGATCCGTGGAAGCTCCATACCAGGACAGTTTCTAGAAGTCTTAGGCCTGATTTCTTCCTTGGCTTCCTTCAGGCGTTCCAACTGTCCACCCCACACAAGCATGAGCTGCAGATCGACGAGGGGGCTGCCCAGCAGTACCGCTGCTTCGCAGAACGCCTCCATCGCAGTGTCCTCCCTGAGTTTGTGAGTGCCCCTTCCCCTCCTGAAGGTCTCCTCAAGCTAGGCCGGTCTGGGGGAGGGTTTCAAGCAGAGATTTGGGCCTGTCATCCCGCAGAGGCAGCGGCTGGACAGACTGGTGTGCCAGCCCCTCTCCCAGCCCTTCTGCAGCCTCTCAGACATGCTGGTGGGGCCACAGCAGCTGGTCAAGAAGCGCCTGGACAAACTACTGGACTACGAGGAGATCCAAGAGCGCAAGAGCGAGCTGGGCAGCGTGACGTACGATGAGGAGGCCGCCATGAACACCTACCTCGCCATCAACGCTCTGCTCGTGGCCGAACTGCCACGGTTCAACCAGGTGGCCCTGCAGCTGCTGGGACAGATCCTGTGCTCCTTCACCGTCCTTCAGCGGGACTTGGCCACACAGGTCTTGCAAGAGGCAGAAAAGGAGCTAGAGCAGGTGGGAATGACCCTATGTTATATGTGCCTAAACTGGCCAAATTTCCATTTCTTCACTGGCAGGGATTGTCCTGTTCTCTCTTTGAGGAGTACTAGATTTTATTGATGCAGTGTCTGACAGATCGGTGCTAACTCTGAGCTCCACTGAGCTCTGTGCCAGGCAGGCAGAGAAGAGTCACTCCATGGCCTGGGGAATGAACATCACTCAGAGCACAGTCTCCTGGGAGTCATCTCTCAGGATGCATCGCTACACACAGACTTCCTAAGCTTGACGTTTGCAAACCTGAGGATAATAGTTCAGGCCCTTGCCTGACTCATGATCAGATGAGAACATCATGCAGCCACATAAAGATATCCTCTCATGGTGTAAGTATCTAGTCATGAGAGCTGGATTCCCCCGATCAGTGTGAGATGCTTACGGTGCAGGTGTCTGCTCCTGAGCTATATCACACCCTGTCTTCCTTTTCAGTCAGATGGTTTATGAATCTGCTGGAGCAGGGGGTTGGACTAGATGATCTCTAGAGGTCCCTTCCGACCTTAACCATTCTGTGATGAAGGAACAATTCTTCTGCCATGGCCAGTTTTTGATGTAGGCTTTAGGAAGAGACAGATCTACCACATGTTCTACTGATGGAAGCAGACAGGTCTCCCCAACCCTAGAGGGAGCCCAGGACCACTGCTTTCAAGTTGATAATCCCACTCATGTTGTGGTAAGGCCCCCCACATGTGGGCTGGGTGCAGCCCACGAGCCCTTTTCAGCTACCCTGCTCCAGAACATGCGACCCAAAGTCAGAAAGGGGCAACTTTTGTTACCAGAAGGGACTGGATCTTAGGTGCAAAGAGCATCTTTAGAAGCAAGGCTTGTTCTCTTGCTTTTTCACTCCTTTTCTTTCTGCTCTTTTGATACTATTCTCAGCTCTTCTCTAAGGACTTCTCTAATCTCAGGGTCTGTCTTCACAGATGCCCCACAGCCATATGCCGCTGCCAAGCTTCTGGAAGTTGATGGAAGACACTTTGCAGCAGTCTGGAGCTCAGCTCCATACCTTCTGCCAGAAGTTTGAAATGGTCATGCCAAGCCCTGTGGCACAGGTAGGAGCTGGGAAGGGGCTTTCCTGCAGGGCTGCTGGATGAAGAGGCAGGACTGAGACCTCCTAGCACAGGAGAACATCTCCTTGGAAGGGAGGTTGGTTCAGAGATAGGGGCATGGAGGGGTTTGCCACAGCCATAGTGTTGCCTCTGGCCTTTGAGAGGGGCTGTCAGGGAATAATGGTGAACTGGAAACACCCTTAATTTCTCTAATTCTGGAAACTTGCCTCCAAACCATGAAGATAGTTACTATGAAGGAATTTCTACTCCAATAGCTCACTGGGATGTGATTGCTCAGAAAGGAGAGGGAGGGGGGCCTCAGGATCCTGTGTTTCCAGTCAAGTGCTCCTTTGTCTCTTGCTCTCCTTTAGCCTCTGACTCCTGCTGAGGAGAGGAAGGTCCATTCCCTTGTGAGCAGACATGGCCCGGACAAACTTTACCAAGTGACAAGCAACATCAGCGGCAGCAAAGATTTGGACCTGACCTTGCAAAGGGGACAGATTGTAGCTCTGCTGCAAAGCATGGACACTAAGGGGAACACGAGCAGATGGCTGGTGGATGCTGGAGGTACTGTGAGGGCTTCAGGGAGGCTTTGCCTGCCTCAGCATGAGGGTCAGATCAAACCTGAACCACATATTCATCTTAGAATTGAGGGACGGGTTTGGATGAAACAGCAGACATTTTCCATCTGGGTCTTCCTCTGCAGGGTTTGCTCAGTTAAAACCCTCCTCTGCTTTGCCAGCTACACCTGTAGACATTAGATGAGGTTTCCCCATCCATTCCTTGTGGGAGTGTTTGTGATCTATCATGGCTGGGAAAGGAGAATTCCCCACACACAGAAACAGCCACTTTGCTGGGTTTTGCTGCTGGATGTCCCCAGAAACGGAGTCGTTCAAACAGGGCTCCTGTGTCTTGCTAGGCAGTTAGTATTCCTGACTCCTCTAACTAATCCTAAATGTGCAGCTGGGTCCCCATGAACCATATGTGTGCCTGTCCTCCAGGTCCCCGAGGGTTTGTCCCTGCTGCAAAGCTCCAGCCCTACTGCCCAGTACCAAAAGAGCAGCCCAGGATGCAGGTGCCAGCCCTGGAGTGCGGGATGGAGAGGAGGCGACATTCCTACGCGTTACCTGAAGCTCCCAGGGCTCCGGTATCCACGTTCGCCCCAGCTTTCCAGGTGAGAATGTGAGACATCCCAAGGATGTCTCCCAAATACTAACCCCTGTGTTTGCAGGGTATGGGTGGATGTATGGCCCTGCTTTTGCGGCACACGTGGTCGTCATGTGCTGCCATGTGCTCCACAGGGCGGTTGGTGCCAGCCAGGCTCAGTGCCTTGCCAGGCTGGTATGTGCCCTGCTGGAAACTGGTGCAGATAGAGTGGGATGAACCATCCTGAGGCACAAGGGCCTGTTGGAGAGCGCTGCAGGTCCCATCTCCTGCTGGGACCAGGGAGGCAAGCAGCAAAGGGCAGCGATGTGCAGGTGGCAGGAACACCATGCTGCCTATGTGCCATGCTGCTTCTGTGTCCATCCGTCCAGAAAGTCAGCAAAGCCCTCTAGGGAGTTGTGCTTATCGGCCCACAGTCTCCCTGCACTGATGACAATACTGGCCCATCCTCTTGGAAACAGCCTCATTTCCAAGGGAGTGAGACCTCGGGTGCCTTCTCTAGATCATGTCCTGCTGTGCATGCCCTTTCCCTCCCTGACTGCACTGCCAGAAAGGGCTTCCTCTGCTCCTCCTGCCTTCCGCAGGTGGTCGCAGGTTTCTCCTTCGTGGCCAGGAGTCCCCACGAGGTCAGCGTGCAAGCGGGGCAGCCGGTGCTGGTGCTGGAACCACACGACAAGAAGGGAAGCAAGGAGTGGAGCCTGGTGGATGTGAACGGCCAGAAGGGCTACGTGCCCTCCAGCTACCTGGTGACCGTCCCCGTTGAGAAGCCCCTGGGCTGGAGCTTACCCGTGTGACCGCTGCCAACCCGGCTTCACGCTGGTCTCAGGAGAGAGCATCTGCTTGGCACCTACGCTGCTCACCGTGGAAAATGATGGAGAGGGAGGCAGCGTGGGAGGGCCCTGGTCAGGGAAGGAGGTGGGAAGTCCTGGAGAACATTGCCCAGGGGCCGGAGTGCAAGGAGTGAGTTTAGGAGATGGGTTTTGGCACCTGCAAGGGCAGGACGGTGCAAGGGTGCCCCATACGTGCTTGCTTATCGTTAGGCAACGGGGAGGAACGGCTCATGAGGAGAAGGCAGGCGGGCTGCTGGTTTTGAAGGGGTTTACTGAAATCCCTATCAGTGAGAAAAGTGTCCCTGAGGCAAGGAGACAGAAGCTGCCCCAAATTAGACCAGGTCCAAGCTGCAAAGGGGGTTGTTAGGCTGGCATCAAGTTATCGGTGCATCCAAAGGGGAGGATGGTGGTGTGAGTGCAGAGACAGGGAGCCCCAGAGACTCAGCCCCCTGCTCCTTACAGGGACCGGCCGTCTACACGGCCACCCCCCATGAAGTGCCAGTTTGGCCCCTTTGGCAGCATTATCCACGATGCCTCGTGGGCAGAGCATCGGGCCAAGACTCCCAAGGCTTCGGTTCCTCTCCTGGCAACCATGTGCCACCCTTGGCCTCAGTTTCCCCCTCTGTACAGCGAGGCTAACACTACTGATGTCCTTGTTTGCGCTGCCGTGATGCGAATCGCTCTGTACGTGACAGGTACGTGCCTGGCCAGCGTTATTTACTGACACTAGTGTGCTGACAGGACGGGATGTCTGCACATCACGGACAAGGCAGCGCTGCCGGGTTTGGGCTCCCCGCTGCCGCCCGGTCCCGGGGGCTCTCACCAGGTCACTGCACAGCTGAAGCTCCTCAACACAGCACTGCCAAACCTGCAACACTGGACATTGCTGCTACATGATAAACACTGACATGAAAAACAAATAAAAATCCCCAAATAGTTGAGCACGTCGTCTTACCGTCATTTTTTTTGTTTCCAAAGAGATCCATAACATCTTTTTCTGTTGAGTTCAAGCAGCATTCACCAACAACCGTCTGGGCTTCACAGATCAAGGCCTGAGAGCCATGGGATGTTTATCAAGGTTTCTCTCCTTTCACTCCTGATTTTCCAAAGCTTGTTATTCTGTCACGCTGCAAAATTATCCATTTAAAAATAAAGCACAAACCAGGAGGAACGCAGGAAAGCAGCTATGTTAAGTCAATTGCATGGCAGCAACATAAACTGTTCTTAAAGTTAATCCAAACAAGAGCATTAAAATTCAGGAATTGTACTGCAAGCAAAAATATTTTCACATACAGAGATTACATTTCATAGGAAGACATAATTGAAGGTATTTAGATTTGTGACAAGTATATAGCTTCTTTCAGGCTCAATATCACTTATGTGATATTCTTTCCATTTCAAGATCTTGAGCTGATCTTCTCACATTACTCCCTCGCTATCCTTGTAGTGAATAAATACGGTACCACAAAGATAATGTCCAACTCTCTTAGCGTGAAGAGCTATAGGTTTTTGAGGATATTACATGATGTTGTAAAGGTGGTACTCGAACCTATCCAATATATATCAGACGCAATTTTTCTCACTTGCATTAAAATACTCACTCGGCAATAATTTAAAAGGGCATTTAAAATCAATTTCATTGTAATCTTTTCCAAGCATACCTTATTAAAAACAAATGTGTTTAATCAGACTGTGATGGTGAGATCACTTTGAAGCCATAAATGAAGCTTAGACACGGTTATTTTATGCAATTTCTCCATCTCAGTCAAACAAGTGGTGATTAACTAGAGAGCCAGTGAGCAGCCAGCACAGCTTAAGCATCATATCTAGAAAGCCAAAATCAGTAATTTTACTGCAATCAATTTTGAAACAATTAAATAGCATACAGTTTATATAAAATACTTATCAACAAGTCACCAAGTATTCAAAATTCAAAAAATGAGTGCTACTGAACACAGACTCAGTGCACAATTATCAGCCAACATGGTTCAATTTGAATCATTTTGCAATTGACTTTGAAGAACACCTGCAAATCCTTTACTGTTAACAAGAAAAATAAAAAAAGGAAGTAACATTCCAACAGTTTGAACATAGCTGCAGTGTTTACTCAAATATTTCTGCAGATAAGAAGCTCCCTTTCTCCAAAATAACAATTTTAGCTGTCTTAGCTCTTTAAGCTGATCTGGAGCCATTTTAAATCTATCAGCTGAAAATCAGTCCCCTTCTTTGCACTGACTTGCTAAAGTCCAGCTGCTTTGCCAGGTACTAAAAACATCTATTCCATTAGAGGTACTCTCTCCCATAAAGTCCTGCTCAGCACTGCTCTTGATGCAGTGACATAATTAAGTTATGGAGAAGAGGCTTGCTGCCATCAGCACACTACCAGTGCTCTTTGATGAATTGTATGTAGCAAGTTTTAAAAAGTGATTTTGATTAATCTGCATAACTGTAACTTGGCAAACCCTAAGCCGTGAAGCTGAACCAAACTCATTGCATGCTCTCTGTAGAAACACGGTGACAATTTCATACTTGTGCAAACCCAAGGATTTTCTTGCAGAAGTCCCAAACGCCTCCTTAATCTTATTGTTACAGTAACAAGAACTGGGACGAGATACAAGCAAAGTCACTGTATTTCTCTTAAGTTTTATACTGAATTTGTGTAGATCATGTTCAAAAGAAGTCTACTTTCCTCATCAATATATTCACTCCATTATATGATCAGAGCGTGGTCACATTATTGCAAAGTTCCTTTCAGAAAGCAATTAATTCACACAACATATTGCTATTCAAATCCGTGCTCTTGCTGAGCTGTAATGATTTCCTCGAGACAAAAAAGCATGTATGATCACGAGAACTCTATTATTACTCTAATATATTTTTTCACTAAGTGTAACAAAAATTAACTCTACTCCAGTGACTGCAGGACAGAAGAGAACACGCGGTGGGAAGAGCTGGCCTGCTTAATGCAATTTTGAGCTCATTTCATGCTTGATTTTTGAAATTGGATAGTTATTACATAACAAAGTCTGTCCTATGCTAGAAAGAAATTCAGATTTGGGCCCACAGCTTCAAACAGAGGCACTGACCCCTCCACACAACATTTTCTCAAGGACTTCTCTGTGAGCATCTTCAGCCAACCTTCCTCACCATTTTAGCTGCAAGACACTTATTTGTATTACGACTGTGCCAGAAAGTTTGCTTGTAATAAGACCATAAAACGAAGCAGGACATTATGTTTGATTAGGCTTGGTTAAGATATACACGGTCGCTTTAAACACAAGCAGATCTTGATTTATTCAGTATTCTGGTTTTCTGTCATCCTCATAAATAACTGGCACTTTCCGCAGCTTTTCTATGCCTCATAGGTTACCAATTTAATATTCAGATCTTACTTGCTATTGAGCGGTCGGTGAGCTGCCATGGCATTGTCAGGAAAATACATTAGTCTGATTTTTTCCCCCCTACCTCTCGTTATAATGAAAACAAAAGTTAAGTAGTCAGGCCCCTCTTCCCATAAAAATAATGCAGTGGGTGTGCGCAACCTTCCTAGCAACCCATTAAGAGAACTCGAGTGAGCTGAGACCTGGCATGGGGTAATCTCTGCTATTTTTCTATTATGTGCATTGATCGCCTAATAGAAATGTCAGGTTGATGCTGAAGTTTGGATGATGCATGAAACGACACTTGGCTCGGCACCTTCTAACTTTATAATGTGACAAATAGTGATTATTACTTTGGAGCTGAGGAAAGAGGGGCAGCAAAACCTTTGGCTTTACGGAGGGGACAGCTAGTGCACAGGGACATGCTGGAGAGCTGCGGCCTCCTGAAGGCAGCAACAAGCCAAAATCCCAATGCTGGGAATAGAAGGGATTTTCAGAGATCCTAGCAAAGCCGTCCTTCGGCGGCCTCGGCAGCGTTTAACATCAGGTGCTGCTCTAGAAAACACGTGTCATGGGACACAACCTACCAGATCTTGCCTCCGAGCAATTTCTGAACAGAATTTGCTGTTTCAATATATTTTTAAAAGGTTTATGCCTTCATTTTACTTCCAAATTTCAAGTTCAGGTTGAGAACAGAAAAGCCCTGGGTAGCTATCGCTCCTCACGCAGTAGCATTTTAGCAGGCTCCAACATAAAGCGTCGCTTGGTGAGAGAACTGCAGCATTTGTCAAGAGTTTCAGCACCCACGTCGTGCCACGCAGATGAGTGATGGCTTTAAAGGAGCGCAATTAGCAGAATCACAAAAGGTTCAGCCTTGCAGCCGTGAGTTACAGGAACGGAGCAGGGCAGGGGATTCGGGAACACGCTGCTTCCCTCTCCTGGCTCACCCACGGGGATCATAGAGTGAAGCAGGCAGCGAGGGTATCTTTAAAAGCAGCCTGTGCTTAGCACTAGAAGGATTAAGTCCCTTACCTGCCTCTCAAAATGGCTTTCTAAAGTTACTAAAATCACACCAGTCAGTTCTGGGAAAGTGAAAGGGCACTAAATCCATTCACATTTTAAGCCACTTCATGTCTACTAATAGCATTGCCACTAGGCATTAGCAGTACGGGGCAAAGAGCGCACAGCCAGCTCCTGAATATTGCACGGGAGACATTTATCCAGGGTAGGAGCCATAACCCATCCTTCTGAACAGCGTTTAAAACTGCCTTACCTTTAAGATTAACTTCTGAGAGTTTAAGAGCTTGGTTAATTCCAAAGGAAAATTCGGGGGAATAAAAGTCGCTTCTGTGAGATAGCCCCAAACCACATGAGCTGTAATGGTTGACCTCATCAGTTACAGTATGTAAAGTAACAGGAGAAAAAAAAAAAAACAAGTATTTGTTTAGCTGATCCATAATTGTATTCTAATTAATGAGGGCTTTCACGTGGGCTTCATATACGTTAAGAGTGCCTTGAACAAGAGAAGGGAATTTCCCATACTGCCAAAATACTCATGTAACTTAAGATGTTCTTTCAAGCATTGAAGACTTCTGTGTTTATTCTTCCTTCCTTAAATGATGCCATTTTGCCTCTATCATGCCCGCTGCCACAGGCTGCAGAACCCTCACCTTTCTAGCTATGAATTTATAACTCTGAGAGCTTTTTTTGTGTCGTAAATGGCAGGTTCTCAGAATAAACCAGTCTTAGGTACCGCGGGGCCGCTGGGGTTGGCTCGCCCGGGTTGCAGGGAGGCTCCTTGGCGCGCGCTGCTCACGCGGCTCCTGCCCCACGTGGGCTCACGGCTCCGTGAGCCACAAAATGGCTTTTGCTTTCCAGCCAGATTCACTTCTTTGGAACGGCTCCCTGCGGCGCATCCGCGTGAAATCCCCCGCGGAGGAAGCGGCAAAGGAGGAACAGAAACTGCTGCCGTCGGTGCCGCGTCTCCGAGCGCTCCGTTAACGGGAGTTTCCCATGGGCTGCTCTCCCTCTCCCTTGGAAGCTGGCCGTGGTCTCGTGCAGCGCCAGGAGCGACACGATGGAGGAAGGACATGTGGGCAGCAGAGCCAAGGTCCTGCACTGCTTATCCCGGCCCTGTCCCAGGCAATGCCCGTCCTGCCGGAGGGCACAGCGCTGTTTCCGAGCCACGCAGGGTGCAGCAGCCCCGCGTTCCTGCTGCTGACCCTTGCGCATTCCCAAAGAGAGGGAAAAACCCTCCTCCGAGCCATGAGGAGCAACTTTAACTGCAGCGCGCTGCTGCGGGGCTTGATTCTTGTTGCAACAACACCCCCACACCACAAGAAAAGCCAAACATGAGCCTCTATCCTGGGAAAAAAATAAAACTGGGCTTGCTGAGACTGGGTGAGCAGTGTAGGGCACAAGGAGAGAAGGGATCTACTGGCAGATCCCGCGGCTTGCTGCTTGCACATGGATTTGCTCCACAGTCTCTTTGCACCTCGAGGTGACCTGCTGAAGGGGAGGAGGGTGGCACGTCCCGAGCAGTAAGAACCTTTGCTCCTTCGGCTGCGCACCGGGGACTGCGAAAGGGAAGCTTTGCTTGGTGACAAGTGACGTCACGCAGATGCCTGCAGGGTTATTTCCAACTCCCTGCCTGAAATAATTGCTGTTTGCTTGTGCCAAGGTCGTTGTGCAACAGGCAAGCCTGAACCAAGCCTTCCTAAGACTGTGTTGCTTCTCCCGGATATCAAGGTGGCCTGGATTCCCCCCCAAAAAAGACAGTAAGTTCCCCAGCCTCCTATAATCAGGAATTATCCCCTTCTCAGGGGTTTCATGGTAGCACAAAGCATGTCCATCCCATTCCTGCCTATCTGCACTACTCTGAGGCTGCACAGGAAACAGCTGGGGAAAAGGAGGGCTGAAAGATGCTATGAAAGGGTCTGCATCTTTCATGGAAAACTGCTTTACAGGCTGAAACACATGAAACGCCACTGCCCTGTGCTGAAAGGTGGAGTGCAGCTGCCAGAAGAGTTGATAGAAAGAAAGATGTCCAGGTGCAGAGCAAAAGGTTGATTCAGTGGTGAGAATCGGTGAGCTAGGCTTGAGGAGAACCCCCTCCTTTGGCTCATGTAGGGATGAGCGTGAGTCTTCTCCCGTGGCCCCTGAGCAAAGTTTGCAGAATTGGGCACATTTTCAAGGAAATTACTGTTTGCTTCATTTGCCGAGTTCCTATTAAACCTTCCATAGTTCCCCTTTCAGACTGAGACAGTCACGCAAGCGGGTCCAGCGTGTGCTGGGCTCTGTGGGTCCTCTCCAGCCCCCTCTTTGGACGGGTCAGCTGCAACTGTGCGTTCAGGAGAAGTGACTTGTCTTCAGCACAGCCTCGGGGGCTGCCCCAAGGGTGCACATGGGTGTCTGCAACCGAGCTCTGGGCCAACACAGAGACCGTGTCCACCCTGACACCCCACATGGAGTGACACGCGTCCTCACTCACGTGTCCACGTCGTGCTGTGCCACGGTGCACAAACATGTCACCCACAGGAGCAGGATTCGGGTGGGATGAGCCCCACGGGTCCCTCTTGCACAGACGCAGAACTGGGATGAAGAGGTGCAGTTGTACATGGGAAAAGGCTGGCAAATATCTCAGTGGTCCATGAAGGCCTTCAGCAGGTTCTGGTCATCCCCAGTTCTCAGGGGGTTGCATGGCCATGGAGCAATAGGGGCACTTCCAGCTGCATCCAGGAGAGACGTAGAGATACAGCAGGGCCAGGAGCCAGGTCACCCCCATCTCCATCCCTCACAGCTCAAGAAATTTCAGCTCTCAGATTGAGAGATTTAGTGCAAAACAAGCAGAGGATGGCAGCAGCACTTGGGCATTGCTGTGCTGCCTCCAGGGCTGATCTAGACAGCCTAAAGCTCCATCCAAAAGCTGAGCAAAGGGGCTGCTAATCAGCTGCAGTCATTTTATTTAACTTGTCAGGAATCATCGTCTGATTTATTCCAGCTGGGTAAGGATGTTTTGAAGGGTTTTGCAGGGTTGTGGTAGATAAGGAACAGGAGCGATCTCAAGATTAGTGCAAGCTAGGGGAGGGTGCAGGAGCTGCATGTTGGGGTTCTTGCTGGCTTTGCAGCTCAATCCTTGCTGTCTAGAGAGCTGAGCTAGGGAGAGTCATGTAGCAGTCATGAAGTCTTCCTGAGCTGTTCCTGCTCCTGAGTTAAAGCTCTCTGCACTGCGAGCCCGGAGGTTTGTCTGCCTAGTGACTGGTGACGCCAGCGAGTGCCAGCGCGGCGTGTTTGGAGCTTCATGCCCGCAGCCTGAACTAGGACCAAGGCTGTGCTGGGTCCTAACACGGAGGTGGCAGCGCCGAGCTCCTCCGTGTGCCATGGGCGGTGGGCTGGTGCCCCTGGCATGGGAGCTCCCCACAAGGGAGCTGTGGGGCACGTAGACATGTGAGGAGGTGCCCGCTGTGTTTCTCCCAGCAAAACCAGGACGGCCGCCCCGTGGGGCTGCTGCTTCTTCCTTGGTTTTTCAGGGTGGAAGCAGGGCTCTGGGATGCACTTGGCCACGGCAGGAGATAAGAGCCCAAGAGGGCCTGAAAAGACTTTGCAGTGCTTTAGGTATCACCCTTCGTGCTGGTCAAACACCCTGCAGGGACGCGGGGCTTTTCCAACTGCCTCCGCAGCCTGTGAGATGGGGGAAGTGGGGGTTGCACAGAAGTGCAGTGCAATTGCACAAATAAATAAATAAAGAAGTAAATAAAAAGAGCAACTTTTTCCTGGCACCAAAGGCAAGCGGGGGACAGGCCCTTGCGGGGGGAACGGCCCTGCCCGCTCCGCAGCCCTCCGCCGCCCCCT